TGTTTGAAATTATGAACATTGCTCAACATCATGAAAATTAAACCTTATTTTCAATAAGCAATCCTGAAAAATATTTTGGGGTGCTTAACTTTTTTCCAGGTGTATAGAAGCTACACTTACCATGTTACTATTCTTGGAAGGTGTATCTAATATAGAAACTATAGTTGGCTGGTTATTATTGCTGATACTATAATTACTATGTTACTATTGGTCAAGTGTGTTTTGTATATAGAAACTATACCTATCATGTTAGTATTGTTGAAACATTTGTGATTTTTATACAGAAGCTACAGTTACCATGTTACTATTGTTTAAACCTGTTTTTATATAGAAACTATAGTTGGCATGTTATTATTGTTGTAACATTATTTGCATTTTCTATATAGAAGCTATAGTTACCATGTTACTATTTTTGAAACATTATTTGTGTTTTATTTGCCATGTTAGTATTGTTGAAACTATAATTACCATGTTTCTATTGTAGAAACTTTATTTGTGTTTTGTATGCAGAAGCTATAGTTACCTTTTTGGCACTGTTGAAATATTTTTGTATATAGAAGCTACTGTTACCATGTTACTATTTTTGAAACATTATTTCTGCTTTGTATATAGAAGTTATAGTTACCATGTTACTATTGTTGAAACATGTTTTTATATAGAAATTATAGTTACTGTGTTACTATTGTTTACAGTAACATGTTTTGTACATAAAAACTATAGTTACCACGTTACTATTGTCAAAACATTATTTGTGTTTTGTATATAGAAGCAGCAGATGGCTCTGTATGCTTAACTGAAACCTACCTGGTTACATGTATCAGCAAAAGAATGGATGACTTCAGCAAACATGCTGTGTGATCCTGTGTACAGCCAGGCCATTAGCTTTAGAATGAAGTTAGTTGCATTGCTGTGATAAGAAAATAAATGAAAGGTTTGTTACTTTCTTGCTGTATGCATACATTACCTTTATAAAACTAATTTTAAATGGTACAGTGCAATTAATATCTTTATTAATTATGCACAAGAAGATCAGGTTTATATAAATAATTGAATGGTCACACAGGTCAGTACATGGTGGTTATTGGAAACTAATAAATAGCACATTACAATTCAGAATTTAAAAAACTAGTGAAAACTTAAAACTAGTGAAAACAAACACTTCCTTAATCAAAGACAATTTTCTCTGTATTTTTTATGAATAAAATAACAATAAACATTCTCTACAAAACTAAATAACATTAACGTGCAGGAATTAAAGTCTGTTTACACATACATTGTGACAGCTGCCACTACAACACGGCCAGAACCTCGAAGAATTTTCTCTCTCCTCTGTAAAATAATAAACACTTTAGTCTAAATTTTTTTCTGTTACTTCTGCTTACAGAGTCTTAAAATTAGTTTAAATGACCTGTAACTTCTCAAATTCTGTCTGATTACAAGTTCAAACTGATTACACAGTATTTTTTCATCTCAAAACGAATTTTTTATCTACAAACGAACTGATTACATAGAATTTCTTATCTAGAAACGAACTGATTACACAGTATTTCTTATCTAGAAATGAACTGATTACACAATATTTCTTATCCAGAAATGAACTGATTACACAGTATTTCTTATCTAGAAATGAACTGATTACACAGTATTTCTTATCTAGAAATGAACTGATTACACAGTATTTCTTATCTAGAAATGAACTGATTACACAGTATTTCTTATCTAGAAATTAACTAATTACACAGAATTTCTTATCTAGAAATGAACTAATTACACAGAATTTATTATCTAGAAATGAGCTGATTACACAGTATTTCTTATTTAGAAACGAACTGATTACACAGTATTTCTTATCTAGAAATGAACTAATTACACAGTATTTCTTATCTACAAATGAGCTGATTACACGGTATTTCTTATCTATAAATGAACGGATTACACACAGTATTTCTTATCTATACAACTATAATCAAATTTCGGTAGGACACGAACTACAGCTAAGTTTTTCCAATAGGTATGTCATAACTCTCATGTTATAAGACAAAACAAACCTTCAGTTCTTGATATTCTCTTTCAGCTTTCCTTGAGTCTTTCAGCTCCTTCTTCATGTTAAAGATATCTACTTGGATACAAGAAAGAATAATAAAAACTGTCATATTTCTGAACACCAACAAGACAGAATATCATAAGCAGGTAATTTCTACATTTTCGTTTTGCTGGTTTGTTTCAAATTTAGTCATACATTTTTATTGTCCCCCTTGCTTCACTCGATCAAATACTGTGGGCACCCCAATTCTAATTTGCCTCCTATCCTAATTTAGGTTTCTCTCCTTAAATATTTGTTTTAAAAAAGTAGAATACAAACCTTTTTTTCATATTCAACATATTTTTGTGCTACAACAATCACTTCAATAATAGCACTATCAATGGAAAGCTTAGATTCAATATTAACTTTGGATAAGTGGAAGCACAAAGATTTAATCATATCATCATACTCTGTGTTAGTATAATAAACAATGCATTCTAAGGAGGGTAAAACCAAAAACACTGTTTTTAAACTATATCTTGATGTCTAATAAATAATGTATTCTAATTAAAATAAAACAAAACCGATGTTCCAATTCCCAAGATACAAACTTTAGGTGTTTCAAAAAGGATGCATTTTTCAACTCAACTCTAAAAAAATCTGTATCTGAAATTTGGGCCAGCTGCATCCTCTTTTGACAAAACCTCAGGACTACAACAACTTATATCACAAGTTATAGTTTTCTTATACTGAAAATGTATTTCTGATAGGCACTTACCTCCACTCACAAGATTAGCTGGAATCCCACATTGAGAAGGAGGGGGGGACTGGTGTGAGAGAACAATAGAAGTACCTTCAAAAGCATCCAAAGGAGACCCCTGACAATGAGAGATAGATCCAAAGATCAGAAGAGGGGAACCGCACCACTTTTGAGCCAGGTATACTCTTCGCCCATGTGTGGAATGTGTAAGAAATAAGGGCAGAAATTGGGAGGTGTAGAGTGGCTAGGGCGTGGTGAACAATACTTGGTAAGTCAACTACATCCAAAACCTCCTCGCGGGGTATCAACATCCACACAAGGATAGGATGAGGATCATACCATCTTCACCTCAAACTAAAGAATCAGAGATTATGACCCTCACTGATTTCTGGGTACAAAACAAGGATCATCGATGATCTATCAATCCAGGAATTGATATCTGGTATCGAAACAATGTCAATCACATTGGAAGCAACTCATGTGAGGATTTATGTTGATTGGTTCACTCTAATCTGAAACCTCTTAGCAGAGTACTGACATCCAAAAGAGGTAGGATGAAGTCTCCCAAACAAAAGGGTGAACTACAATTTTGACGGCTCAACTCCAGTGTTTATGTAAATTATATCAGGAGGCCACGTCATTCAGTAAGGAGATGGATCAACTCCAGTGTTTGTGTAAATGAAATCAGGTAGCCACATGATCCTGTAAGGTGACAGCTCAACTCCCGTGTGATGCCTAAACTCCTCTGGAGGCAACATCATGCAGTAGGGCGACAGCTCAACTCCAGTGGTTGTGTAAGTGGTATCAGGAGGCCATGTCCAAACAGCAAGGTGATGGCTCAATTCCTCTGGAGGTCAAGTCTAATCTATACCAACAGAACACCACCGCCCTACTCTTGACTGAATGGTTCAAGCCCTTTCTTTGTGGAACTCATTCAGGAGGGTGCCTCCATGATCAACCACACCAGTGGCTTGGAACTGGAAAGTATTCCCATACTCCACTCGAGAAAAGGAGGAGACAATTCAGTGGAGAGTCCAGAGAAACATTATCACCAGAGACAGTGCAATGGGTGATCACAAAACCTTATTTTGAAAAGAAGACCATACCGAGCTGAGGAATGGCAGAGATGGGCAGCAATCCCCTTCTGCTCGCAGTAACAAACCTTGTGTGGCTGGCTCGCTGGAATGACTAGGTGAAACCCATGCGCAAAAATGCACTCTTCTGGCATTTCATCTGGAACGAAATGGGAAGATCAAGAGTTGGGCTAATTGCCCAGATACGGAGGAGTACTCATGCAGAGTATCATCAGTATTTCTGATTTCTCATCACAGCTACATTATTTTTTACCACAACTACAGTATTCATTATCACAACTAAAATATTTTTTACCACAACTACAGTATTTTTCATCACAACTACAATATTTTTTACCACAACTACAGTATTCATTATCACAACTACAATATTTTTTACCACAACTACAGTATTCAATATCACAACTACAGTATTTCTCGTCACAACTACAATATTTTTTATCACAACTACAGTATCTATTGCCCCCCCAGTGGCACAGCAGTATGTATGTGGACTTACAATGCTAGAGACCGGGTTTCGATACCCGTGGTGGGCAGAGCACAGATAGCCCATTGTGCAACTTTGTGCTTAATTACAAACAAACAAACAGTATCTATTATCACAACTACAGTATATATATTATCATGACTATAATATTCATTATCACAACTATAGTATTTATTATCACAACTACAGTATATATATTATCATGACTATAATATTTATTATCACAACTACAGTATATATATTATCATGACTATAGTATTCATTATCACAACTACAGTATTTCTTACCATGACTACAATATTTATTATCACAACCACAGTATTTATTATCACAACTACAGTATATATATTATCATGACTATAGTATTTATTATCACAACTACAGTATATATATTATCATGACTATAATATTTATTATCACAACTACAGTACAAATATTATCATGACTATAGTATTCATTATCACAACTACAGTATTTCTTACCATGACTACAATATTTATTATCACAACTACAGTATTTATTATTTAGAACAAACATGTTAAGCTTCAGAAAAAAATATTACCTCATTAACGTTTAAGAAAATGAAGAAGTGATGACTACACAAATTTTTTGTATTAAGCACTATATACATAAACCAAAAATAATAATATTAATTAGCTTTTTAGTAATTAAAATATTCTGTCCAAAACACAGAAACTGCGAGAAAAAAAACCCATCAAACTTATCCTATGGAAGATGAAGCTAGATATTTCCTAACAAAAAACACTTTTATAGAGCTAATAAAGTGATCTTCTGATGTTATCTGCCAAAGAAAGAAATCAAACCTCTTGTGTCATCTTTGGACCTGTTTGATTTTGCTACTGATATCCAACCAGACCTGTTTTTAAACTAAGTAGCTTAAAATATCTATTAGCATGATATTGCTAGCACTGCCTCGATATAATGTAACCAATGTTAGTTCATAAATACAAGAGTTGTGCACATGTTCAAGAAAAACTAAAAACTCACACATTCTCACTTCCACCATTACACCTATTAGAAGGTATTTGACATTTTAAATTAAGCAATACTGTACTTACTATCCTTATGTGCACATTCTTCTTCTCTCTTTTTTCTTAATTCTCTTTTTAATGCCTCACTATTTTTCCACTTTTCAAGTGCCCTACAATCAAAACCAGAAGTACAAAATATTACAGTACAAAAAGACAGAATTTTTAAATAATTTTTCATAATTCAAATTAAATAATTACCTTTACTTTTTCTGATAGCCTTTAATAATACTGCTATAATTTGAAAAATTATTGATAGTTTAGTAGATGAATAACTAATGATAAGCTTACTTTGCTTCAATATCTGTCCTCAAATACACAATAATAGGAGGAGTCTCTTCATATGGACTTCGTCGTTGGATTTTTCTCAATCCTTCCAAGTCACTTAAAGTAAAAAAGCAATATCAAATCTGTATTATATATAAGTACTACTTGTTAAAAATGCAATAATACAGTGTTGTCCAAGTTATAAACGCAGATGTTTTTAAAAGTAGAAGTTATTTGCTTTACAGATTCAGTTAAAGAAAAAGAAAATATACTCATTTATTAGGGTGATACTACTCCTAAAATGCAAGAAAAATAATTTTTATGTTAATATCTTTCTGCCTGTGTTCTGTTTAATTCCAGAATTGCTATTACACACACATATATATGTATATAACCAGTAAAATTTAGAAATATAAGAAGTATTACATGGGTTTAAGAAGATACTCGTTCATAGCTCGAAGTGGAGTGATAAAGTTTCTTTCAGTGTAAGCTTGAGTGACATCAAGTTTCTTCCTTTGGCTCTTCCGTTTTGGAATCACTGAAAAACTTTGGTTTATCAATGTTTCTTCTACAATCAAAACTTGGGCAACAAATGTATTCAATATTCTCTAAAATACTGCAGAACTGACTGACATGATATAAAATTTTAACAAACAATAAACAAGTAAAATATAACAAAGGAAAAAAAAAAGCATATTACATATGATAAAAAAAATTAGCAAAAAATAAGGATGATGTAGGGATGGCAATGCCATAAGGTATCGAAACAGGGTAGGGATGAATACAAAATACCAAACAAAAATCCCTAATAAGTACCCAGTAAGTGTATAGCACTATTCAGTTTAAATACTTTTATTCAAACCTGAATTTATTCAACTGACAAGAATTCAACATTTAGTTGAAGATAAAAGTTATTCTTGGAAAGATTTGGCTACTTATGTAGTGATTTTTGAATGGTTTTGTGTATTCATCCCTAGCTTGTTACTGTATTTTTTGGCATTGCCATTCCTAAATCATAATTAATTTTTGCAAATATATTTAATGTACTTAATTATTTGTTTCCCCCTTCTTTTTTTTAACAATTTCGTTGAAGTAATTTGATATGTGAACATTTGTTTTATTTTTATAATTCTATAGTAATATATATTGTTAATATCATATCAGTTTTGTCAGTTTCTGCATTGCACTTGTAGAATGACCTCAGATATTGATATTATAACAAACAATTGGTTGCAATAAGTTAATAATCAACACTGGTCATAATCTTGATTTCTTGGGACTTAATGTTGAGAAGCCTACAGTAAGGAGAGAACATATGAAAAATGTATAGCTATATCATCCCTATATTCATGTTTGCATCCTTTTTAGCACTTTCAGCACTGCCATCCCTACATATTTTTACATTTACGAAATGTTTTTATTACTTGTTTTTCTTTTTTTTTCTCCTGACTAAAAGTTAGTGTATCCTATGATTGTGTGTAATAAAATTTGATATTATGTGTATTGATTTCTTTTCTTTAGTTGTTCACTTCATACATATATAAGAGTTGGCTCCCTAAAGCCTATTCCCTTAAACACTGCCAACTGAGAGAGAAAACTTAAAAATTTAATATATACCTAGGCCTAAAAATAGCAGTTGTTTCATTATACATTAATCAACCAAAAATCTTAATGTTTCAACTATTTCAAATGAAAATAATAATTTGTTTTTTTGTAACAGTTATAAAATAATTTAGATTATGTATTTGAAAGTAATATATTTTTAAGTATAAAAGTAATAAATCTTTTCAAACACAAAAGAAATAACTTTTACTCACATCACAGTTAACGTTTTCCTAAATTGAAAATGTATTTCCAATAACACCTCCACTGACACTTGTAGCTTTTACTCAACTGCCAGGGTTTCTTCCTTTGCCCATCTAAGCATTGGTCTGAATTTTTTTCTCACTTGCTTCAGTCTTTTATAACCCACTCAATTGCTCTTGGCAATATTTGTCTCATGACACTCCACCTACATCAATGCACCCTCTAACCTGGCACTGTATAAAAACACCTCGTTCAGATAATTTTATCCCTTTTTCAAGACTGACACCATCCCAGTCTCCAACATTGGCTCTTAATAGGGAGGAAGAGTGTCAACAGAGGTAAGTATTATAGGAAATACATTTTAAATTTAAGAAAATGTTAACTTCTAAAACATACTTACCTCAGCTCACACTACAGCTAGAATCCCATATTGAGAAGGTAGAGGGGCCATTGAGGGCATTATCCATACAGGAAGCATCTGCATAGATTGTGGGAGTGTCAACAGAAGATCAGCACCCTAGTGGGGGAACTGTACTACATCCAGAACAGGTACGTTCTTCATCTAGAACTTAATTCCTATATTGTGGGTGGAATTTTACATGATTTAACATCACTATAGGTCAGGCCCCAACCAGATAACCAAGGTCCCACTCCTCAAGGTTGGAATCAAGGGGTCTAGGTCCTTCTATCCCACATTGGTGGATAGGGCAGTTGGACTGCAATGTTACATATATATATAATATTGATTGAATCTCAACCTGTAGCCATAGTGATGCTTTCCAAAACACCAGAATCACAATGAGAAAGTAAGCAACACAGAAGTGGACAAACCTTCTTCTCCACCTGAAGAATCCTGAAAGGCAACACCTCAGGCTCGGAATGATGAGATCATGTAGGCTATACTCAACCAAAGAAACAGAAGGAGCACTTCACTTGCCCCCGAAATTATGGGAAGAACATGGAACAATTGCACTTAACCAAGGACCCAGGATGGGACCACTCAGCATTCGGAAATATGAGGAGATAGTGGACTCCCTTCTATGAACAATGTATGGAACTAATATTGATCAAAAAGTAGGGCCACGCATACCTTAACCAGATAGCCAAGCATCAAATCTTGTTTGTTTGTTTGGAACAGCCCATTGTGTAGCTTTGTGCTTAATTTCGATACCCGTGGTGGGCAGAGCACAGAACCGGTTTCTAGCATTGTAAGTCCGCAGACATACCGCTGTGCCACTGGGGGGCAGCATCAAATCTGAACCAGCATTACGAGTAGGTTCACATATAGGCTGATGCTGCTCCTACTGACATCTGGGAAAAAACATCCAGGGACCTGGCCAGGAGGGCCTCCAACTTCACTCTCTTCTCAGAGAGTGGAGGAATTCACTCTAACACTCTGGAGGAAAAGCTTCTGTCCACCACCCCCAGTGACTGTAAACCGGGGGTAAGGACTCACTAGTTCCACTAGTAGAATCTGGGGGGTAATGCACCTTGGGGAGCCCTGAGGAACAGTATTCTGGAAACAGTGCAATATGTGAACCAAGTTCCCTAAATTTTCAAAAGTAAACTGACCCCAATTTGTTCAATCTGATAATCAGCAGGGACAGGCAGGATCCTCTTTTGCTTCACTCATGATAGTCTATAAGTGTCGGTCTAGCATAGTATGGTAATACCATCTGGTGAGCTATTAGGTGGTCTTATAGAACACCTCATTTTTACAGGGCCTGTTACAACTGGTAGTAATTATAGTGAAATATTGGTTGCTAGTGCAGAATTGGTTTGATAAAAGCACACCTATCTGGGCAACACTCGAACAAAGAGTTGGATCCTGTGAAAACAAGGTAAGAGACTCTGAAAAGTAAAAGTAAATATACTCACCCCTCTGTAGAATCTAACAGAAATGGTTAATATAGCTACAGGGAGGTAAGCAAAAACTCTCAGTTGAAGAAACTGCCACATCAGGCAAATAATGTAAGATTAAAGTATTGGGGAGGTCCACATACCAGTCTGCACAATGACCTCCAGTGGGCAATTCAACTGGACTGCTAAGGATATAAAGAGAAATCTGATTAGAATGGACTCTCAGAAGATACCTTGCCTTCAAAGAGAGCTCAGAATAAAAAGAGTTGTCTAGTATCTCTAAAGGTATAAGTGCAGGCAACAGAACTTTCAAGATCCTCACTGAGAAAGAGTGAGCAGATGAATTAGAGAAAAGGATTGAACCCATTTCTGTCTGACAGAGTGTTGGATAAAAAGAACTGGTCTGAAGATGTGAAAGTTGTCTGTTCTGTGGACAAACAGTGCAAATCAAACTGACTGGAGATGTCAAATACGTCAGCAGCCATGAAGAATAAACCTGCAGGAAAAGGGAATAAATGGCATATAAGAGTCAGGTCAAAAACAGGTGTAGAGAAAGAATATAACTTTAATCTACCAGGTAAGTAACTGGAATGTTCATTTGGAACGAATTACCCAAAACGATGTGAGGAATCTGGAGAGTACTGGAGACTCAAAAAATATGTAGTCACGATAATCAAACAGTAGTCGATAAAGCCGGCAATTGTGGAAGATACAAAAACCTCTGTCAAAGAGCTAAGTCAAAAAACGAGTTATGGTTGACACCACTGATTGAAAAGGGTTCAACTTCCTCTGATACAACATTGCCAATATGCATATCATTACCTTTGAGAACAGTGTCTTTTCGACTAAGCAGAAACTGAGGCAGATATAAGTCAACCTTAGATATGAAACCCCAATGCCATATGAAAGAGAGCATAACCTCCATGCTACAAGCTTGAGCTTCTAGATAACCTGGTGTCTCATATCAGGTCATGGTTGCCTCCACAGTGACAGCCTAAAAAGAAGTGGAAGAGTTGGGCACACTGGAAGGAACTGCAGAAGCAGAAACCCAGGTGTAGCAGCCAATCTTGTGCTATCAACAGGATATGAGAATGAGTTGGAACAAATCATTTCTTATACTGAGTAGAGTGGTAATCCCATCCTGTCCAGATGGAAAGCATCTGCTGCCAAAGCCTGAAAGTGAGGTGCTGGAGACCAAATTGCCAGTAGTTGGATGATCCAGTGAAAGGCCAACCCACCAATTAGAGTAGCAAATGAGAGCTAATCCAGCAGAACCTTTTGATGCAACATCTATTCTATTGGGAGAATCTGTCTGTAAGATAGGACTAGTCCCGAGAAATGAGATCCAAATTTCGAAAATAAAGAGCCCTAGACCACATGCCTCCTTGATGAGAAACAAGACACCACCATAGAATAGTCAGAGTGAAGCCTGATGATTTATCATTTAAGAAGCCCAGACCATGAGGCTGCTTGGTGAAGATCAAGAAGGACGAAAACATTGTGTAGGAAATTCTCATTGTCCATGCATAGACTCTGGATTTTTCGACTGTTGGTATATGCACCCCATCCCTGAAGCTAGGCATTCGTGGCAAAAAAAAGAACTCTGGATGAAGTGGCAGTAGAGGAACACAAATCATAGTAGTGTCCCGATTTAACCATCCCTCAGGATTGAAGAATGATCCCAGGTTAGGAAATAGGGGAACCAGTAAATAGATATGTATGATCCTTGATCACTTAAAGACCAATTAAATGATTGCTTGTGTTCATGTCCCAAAAGTCAAAAAATATTCAAGTGATGCTGACATTCCCAGAAGAAAAAGAACCATCCGTGCAATAAGAAAAAGAGAGGTGAATAAGAGGGTGGCATCCTAT